ATAAATTTAAAAAATCTCGTTCATCAGCTTTTTATCCATCAACTTTAATTTCACATCTACAATTATTATTTTTATTATTTTCTTCTCCGTTAGAGAAAAAAAAAAGAGAAAAAGAATGAATTGTGCAAGAAACTTAGTTAAAAAGAATAAATCTATTCAATTATGGAAACCACACATGTTCTGTTTTCTATTTCTTATAGAATACTTAATCGCATTGTTTCTTTTAATTTTGCGGAAATTGCTGAGATCGTTATTACAATTATCTGAGAAAAAAAAAAATTTAAGTCGATACATCTGTAATTTATGTAACGATTTTTTGATTGAAATACTAATAAATTGCTTAAAGGAAGAGGTATACAGTAGGAAATTCAAGTTGTAATAAATCATTACATCGTGAAAGATACGAAAGTAATTTTAATAAATTATCGTATGTCACTGTCACTTGTTCGCGTCGCAAATGCCAAAGTGACTTAATTTGCGACGTTAGAAGAAAAAGCTAACAATAAGTGATGATTTAAAAAGATCTTATTTTTTAACTAAATTAAAATATTCATACAATTGTCTAAAAAAAATAATAATAAATCATATGTCGCAAATTATCTTCCCTGCTTAGATTGCCCTATTTCGATTAAAAATATGGTTTGGAGAATTGATCTGCTGCTTTATTGATAAAATGTAATAGTTCGAGTACAATGTCATTTTTTTTATGGAAGAATGTACAAGAGAGCAATGGAAATTAAATCATATGTTAAATCATATCTTCTTTGTACGAAAAAAAATCGTTCTCTTAATTAATTAATTTTTTATTGTACTATAGAAGTCTTACAATATATATATATTAGGTGCGCAACTAAGTTCTCGCTGTTATTTTGATGCCATGAAAATAACAGCGAGAACTTAGTTGCACCTAATATATATTTTTTAAATGACCCAATATATATATATATATATATATGATATTTTATTATTTTTGTAAATTTGTTATTCTTTTCTATTATTAATTATTTATTTTTCCATCACTTCTGTATTTTGTATGCACATACAATTTTTGTTTCTATTTTCCCAGTATATTTTCCTTCGAGTTTTTCTTTTTCTATCTATTTGAAACTTTTTTCGTACTGTTTTACTTCTCTATCCGGAAGTTTGTCCATGTTCGTTAACTTAACTACTTTAACGTGCACTTTACTGGCATGTAATTGACAGACAGCAACACCACGAGTTAATAGTTTCTGTCGATAGCACGTGTATCTACAAAAATTTAAGGGGAATGAATATTAATGACAAACAATGCATTGATAATTGTAGAGTAAATGCTATCCTTGGGCGGATAATCGCATTCCAGATTCGTGAATTAAAAAGTCTCTGTAGCGTAAAGTGAGTTATGCAACGTAATAGCCTGACAACGGATCACCTAATATTTCTTTGAACGCTTCGCAGTCCATATTAAATCCGTAAAAGAAAAATGCCCTATATTAATTTTACACTTCGGTAGCACGACTAAAAGAAAGAAAAAAGACAACAGGCTTACTTACGAATAAGCGAACCTCGATGACTCAGTAAGAATATAAAGCGTTAAATATATTAGAAAATTCGTCGAAAACTATACATTGCCGTGCGTACATGTGTGTAACTACCATTTTTTATTAAATATTTATTTATTAAATATTTATTGTAAATATTTTAATTATTATTTCATATTTTCAGCAAATATTTATTAATTTTATGAGCATTTGTTTTATTAATATTTTCAATTTAAGGATTAAACGAGAGAATAAATAAAGTCTGTCTGGATTGCTTGAAATCTCCATAAATATTTCCATTTCGCAATAAATATAATCGAGCATTAAAAAGACAGAAAGTAAAGATTCTGGATGCAAAAAGTACAAGCATTGCGAACAGACCTATAATTTAATGTTGAACGTGTTCCTTAGATACTTGAATAATTTTTTTATTCTGAATTCAGTGAACGGAGCGTGGTACGGTAGACACTGGTCTATTATGTCAGAGATCCCGGATTCGATCTTAATAGGAACCAAAATATTTACGCTCGTATCTCCTCTCGGAAAAGGTCGGTAACCTCCCGAGAGTATTCTTGCTCACAGAAACACCTCTCGAAAAATCCATCGTTCGGAACCGGTATTAAAACTGTAGATATGCTTGTGGCGATTCCCAGTAAGAAATGACAATGAAATCGATGTTTCGAATCGACGTCGAATCTACATTATTCCATTATCATTTCTCTCTGGGTTGAATAAACAGCGTGTGCATCACAAACACATGAAAAAGGTGTAGGGCCATGGCATAAAAAAACTTAAGCAATAAAAGGTAAGCAATAAGCGAATTGATCAATCACAATAGAATCCGTAAAGCCATAAGTAAGCCATAAGAAACCAATCCAATACGTTAATTCTCTTACTTACGTCTTACTGCCTTAAGTTTTTTGTGTGTCATGGTCCTAACACAGGCAAGAGGCCTAACGTAAGAAAAAGAAGAAAATTCATTAAACGCCGTATTTATTTTATATTGTTTGATATTCGTTATTTTATTATTTTTATTTGCTTTATGTTTTCTCACAAGTTCTTATCTCGCTTGATATCCAATATTCTTAATTGCAATCTGTCTTTATTTAATCGTTCAATGTCACGAGAAATTATCTTCTTTTTTAATTATAGATATATTACGTGATGATCCATAAGAAAGTTTCGATTAATTTAGGCTAACACCTTAGTCTATCATTATATACTTTGTGCTTGCACAAAGTGCTTTTACATCGCATAATGCGATTAACAGGATCGTTTAAGCGCACGATAAAATGTGAACGCTTCTTCAGTACTTGTCCAAGCTACCTCTCATTTACTATCTCTCAGTGACATAACATTTCGTTCCCGCTACTTCATATAATACTAAGAGTGAATGTAAATTACTCTTCCTCGCGAAAAGTAATACAAGATAGAAATCAAGCGTAGAGATACGGAGAAGTAAATGAACAGTGAAATAATATGGAAGGCATCACACATTATATTCTTTTTACATTAAAAAGATTTATGTAATGCGTAATATAAACGAAAGGTGAGTTATGTAATATTTTTATTCGTAAAACGTGTATATTTCTGACGTTTAGTATAATTGAGCGAATTTAATTTTCGAGCGACATCATTAAAATACGTCAATAAAAAATGTGTCAATAAAAAATAAATGAAAAAATTAATGTGTAAATTAATGCGAAAGACGGAGAGAGAGAGAGAGAGAGAGAGAGAGAGAGAGAGAGAGAGAGAGAGAGAGAAAGAGAGACGGGGAACCAGACTTTATATAAACCGAGATACAAACATTTATAATTGTTAGCATTTTGAATTAAGTAATCAAAATACCACATGTTTCCTTAAGAAGTTTCGCTATGTTATTTGAAATCTCTACTGAATATTATTCAAATTAATTCAAATATTAAATAATATTACTTTAAATACGAAACGCTACTATGATCTGAGTGTCGAAATGTTGAATTAATATATCTATATTCATATAAATGAATTAATTTCAGAAATGATAATTACGTGCCGATATGGTTGTTGGACTTTCAACGCAATCAATTTAATATTAATAATCCCCCAAATTTTCCAAATTAATCTTAAAAAACTGTAATAAACTTATTGCGAAAAATATTGCCGAGAGCCAAACTCGGATCTCTTGTATTCCGTGCGAGCGTTCTGAGCCTTTAGATTACCGAGACCTTAGCAATATTCTTCGCAATAACCAATATGTACAGAGAATTACGCATTTTTTCAGCGCACGTGTGTAAACAATAAAATTGAAAACAAGACCGTTTATGTTAAATAATTACTTTAAATACGAAGCGCTACTACAGTGTAAATCCGACAATCATATCGAATATATATATATATATAATAAATCTAAAAATGAAATATACATATGATATAAAGCGTATATATTTGAAAATAAATTATGTAATATTTTTATTCATAAACCGTGTACATTTCTAGCATCTTAATACACTTGAGCGAATTTTATTTTCGAGCTACATCACTAAAACGTACATCATGAAAATTAAATAAGAAAAAAAGTAATGTCACGTAAATAATGCGAGAGAGAGAAAACCGCGTCTCTCTCTCCCTCCCTCTACAAATTTAATGCAAATTACAAAAGAGAAAAAAGTTGTTATGCACGTGGAACCTTTTTTAACTAGGTATACTTAGTTACGTATAAATTATGTAACTTAGCTACACTTGCTTGCATAATATACGCACGTATTAAGAAATTATTAGTTGAAACTTTCCATCCGAACTATCTTCTGTTTACATATTTGTCACTCTTTCAACAATAATTCCTGATCTCGGTGTGATACTTATACGATCATTAAAAATGTATACGATAATCAATCAAATAATGAATAGATTTATCGATTCGTGTCTTTCTAGCATCATTCTCGAGAATTCAAGTACAAGTACAACTCTTTATAATTACATGAGTGTCAGCAAGAAAGAATTGTGTAAAAATGACACACACACACACACACAAAAGTTGATATATTTATGTGTAACTATCTGAATAATTATTATTTTCATAATCTATATATTATTCTTGCTTTATTGATAATAAAAGATACATTATTTTTATGGAACATAAATATGTATAGAGTATAAGCAGAATATTTCAAAATTTAATCCGTTTCAAAATTATTAATTCTCTCATTTTTATTGCTTAATCACAATCAATGAATAAATTTCACAAAATGCTACTACTTATTACAATCTTCAAATTTTACATAATCAAATCCGGAAATACCATATCTAATAAATGCTTGCCGAGATCGTGCTTAGATGTTCTTGTCATCTCTTAATTTTTTTATTATTGCAGTAATTTCTCTTGGTACATATCATTTTTCTTCAAGATAAGATTTAACAATCCGATCTCCGCAGGAGGTTTAAAAAAGTAACGTACGCCTAGAAATTGCTGCAATTAGAGCTGAAACTTCGTTTGTGCAGGTAATGGAAAATGCGGTTTGAGAGAGTGAAGATCAGCAAACATAGTTTGAATGACCGATTAGTAGATTATTCCGGATTTGATTATGTAAAATTTTCCACACTCGGGTTTCATACGCAACTTAGTATCATCGGGAAAGTTTCAATGAGATCCCAGCGATTCTCCAAGAAACATAATTAAAGATAACACCAAGAAAAATAATTTAAAAAGAAAAAGTATGAGATTGTTTCGAAAGAACTGTGTACACCGACGAGTGCGTGGGTCTTCCTGCTTTTATTTGACGTCGAGTCGCAGATGTTCGTGTGATCCCCAAAAAGAGATGAGATAATTACACGTTTTCAGACTCACTCGTGAACGACCGTGAGATGCGAGAGGGCCTAGCGATCGGATTCCATGCAGTTACTTTTCTGCAATACGCTTTTGCGGTTTTTTACGATTACATGTATACGATCGTGCCGCACGATGTTAGGAGTGTGCACAACGCCTACGGTGGGAAGTTCAAGTTCCTAACGTTCTGGGATGCGGTTAGTATTGACGTGCAAGCTGAGTGCGTTTAGTTTGATGAAATTGCAAAGTTTTTGTCTTGGTGTCGGTACCTACATGCACGATACACACAAACCAGCACAAACGCATCCCGCATACCCTGTATCGATTCTCTTGCTATCACTGAAATTATTATGATCGTCTAAGAAAACGGAATGGGATTTTCTATATAAAACTATTATTACATTCGCAATAGTTGATTTGGAAGTCTAGACTAATACGTAAACGACAATGTAACAAAATCTCAACCTGCGGCCTGCGGCAAACATGATCTGCTTCAAGACATTCAACGGAAATCATTGTAATAAGATATTATTATATCCATGATCTTATTATCTTTTCAATTTAATTTTTCTTACTTATGTCCGCAAAGACCGTTACTTCCGTGGGAATAGTTTGTACTTTATGATGCATAATGAGATATTAATTTTAGATATAGAAATGTCTATGATGAGAACTACAGTTTCAGCGGTACAGCAATCATTAATCAAGAGATCATTTCTTTAATTCTTAGACATATTTTCATCCTGTTTTATTTTTCTGCTCTTCGCAAAAAAAAATTACTGCATTTTCTACAGAGTAACTATTACAGAGCAACGAGAAACTCTAGTATTCTTCGAAAAAAAACTGATTCTCTACGATCATAGATCCCATATATGCAATGTATCCTTATTACCCTGTTACGTAATAGTGAAAACCGACCACGCTTACATAGCAGATTCCGGGCAAAAATCACAAATAACAGTGATATAATATTCCTCGAATCAGCAATATAGAAAAACGATATACTCATCGAGTATTATCAATGATTATCAATTGTAATTATAAAAGCCAATGCATATATACGGTAATAACTAGGAAGTTAAATGGTTGTTATTTTGTAATGAGTGAACAGAATAAAATGGGTTCGACGTTCTAATGTAAAAGGAATGTCATTTTTATTATTTTATTATCATATAGAATATATACATATAAACTTGTAAAAATAAATGTTATAAAGAAAAATAAATAATTTAAGCGACATGTTTTCAGAATAATGACTATCTGAACTCGCATAATAATTAAAGCGCTTTTAAAATTATTAATTACATAATTTTTAATTTATGTATACATCAATAATTGTAACTGTATTTTTAAAAATTTTCAAGCAAATTCTTTTCATGGAAATTAATCGCCCTTCATACCGACTTTCTAAATATAAGTTACTAAGCTATATAATCGATCAAATTTTCAGGTTTTTTTATAATGCTAATTTTTGTATGTTTATAAATATATATTTTTTTTTAATTATATATGTGAATGAAAAAATAATAATCATTTTTCGTTTATTTTAATTTATTCTGTCCACTATTGACTATCTTATTATAAAATAGCGACTATTATAATTTCAGTAATTTTTAATTTGTCATCTTTATCATAATAAAACGCTTTTTTAATTTGAAGAAGTAACAGTGTTATTTATACATTGAGTGCATATAGACTTCTTACATAAGATATAATAAATTATGATATTTTTATAAGAGATACAAAGAAAATTAAAAATTTTTTAGAATCATCTCAAAGATTGTCAAAATGTATAATCTATGTTAAATAAGTGTATAAACTATGTATACGTTAAATCTAGATGAATGAATGCGACATATTCAGTACGCACATCAGAGTTGTTTATTTTTCAATTGGCATTTATCTTACAAATCAAAAATATACTTGTTAAAGACGAGTGCTCTTCACTCAATTTGCCCCGTTAAACCAAACCAAAAGCGTGATTCTACATTCGACAAGATTACGTTCAAGCATTTTGTCACTTATCGTCGAACGATGATACACTCTTAATCATTTCACGCTCGAATTGTCGTCAAACTGCTCGTAAAGAAAATTCAATTGTTTGAGCATCACTTGATATTATGCAGCGAAACGAAGGCATGCAAAACTGCACGTGCAGCACCAATCAATATAATTACGTTAAAACGTTTAATTCGGATTGATTATTTCATCCAACAAAACGAAGAATATCAATTTCCTATCTAAAATTTAAGCTTCCTAAATTAGCTTGAGTTTTATTTACTCATTTTTTAAAGATCAAATAAGACAATTACTATAATGGTGACGATAAAAATTTCCAAAGTTTATTAATTTTTGATAATAAGAATAGCTCATTAGTAAATTATTTTTATTTTAATTTTTAAAGAGTTTAAAAAAGACTTCAATTTAAATATTAATTAATCTTGATATCGAAAATGGCGCAGATAATTAGGTCACTTCCTCTTGCGGTATCAACGTTGAAGTGTCTCATATTTGTGAGTTGTATATATTTGTGACACATATCATCACTCGATTGACACATGATAAGCTTAAACAAATCTTATAGATTATGCGCTTTAATACTTTATCTTAAAATGTCAATGTAAGATTAAGTATTAAAATAACATCGTATAAGTTATATAATAATAGACGAAAATATTTATACAATATTATGCAACAATACAAATTCAGAACTACATATTTGATCGTCGTGTATTATATTATTATTGTAAATTAGAAATGTTGAAGGATTTCGAAATGAAAAAATTTTTATACATGGCAAAGCGAGATATGCTTTTCAAAATATTTATATTTTTAATTAAGTTTATGCTTATAACTTTTTATACTTTTGAAATACTTCCTCTTTTTTTTCTAGAAATAAAGTATAATCATACGTATGTAATTTTAATATTAACAATGTTCGAAATAAAATATTCAAATTTCTTAATGTATGATGCAGCATGTATAATAAATGCGCATTGAGAATATAAGCCATACATTAAACAATTTTATGCTTTATGTCGAATAATGCAGTATTCAATGTTTTTATGGATGCAAGAAATAATATTTAAATAATTAACATATATAAATAAACGTATATAAATTTGCAACAAGTCAGAAACGGTAAAAACTGGAGGACTGCACATAATTTCAATTTACTTGTCTGATAGAGAAAACAACAAGTAATGAAATATGTGTGATTATTGTTTGTATTCACAGAGAGATTAGACTTCATATTTAAGGCTTTCTTAAATTTATCTTTAGATACTTAGTAGCCAATAAAATAATTCGTAGAGTATCTAAAGATAAATTTAAGGAAGTCTTAAATATAAGACACGGCTATGAATACGGGCATATATTATATCGTATATTTTTGTATTATATTAAAATAATACTGCACTATATGCTATTTGGAATATGTATACACGTCTCTTTTAGACTAAATCTTTAAGTTTTAAGTAAAATAAATGCAACAAAGAATTGTTCGTTTTACAAATATTTGTTTGAAAATTCGATTTGTTTAGTGAATTCTTTGCTAAAATCTCAATTCACAATTATTAACATATTTTTATTAATAAATATAAAGTAGTTCTAACAGTGGATGGTGGCAATAATATCACAGTTAATTTTAAACGGTATTTATAATTATTGTTGCAGCCGCTAAAAATATTTATTGACTTATTATTTAATTAAAGCACTTTGAAATGTCACTTGTGTTCTAGATTCTGCAAACGATATTCTTCTTGATATGTCTTCTAAACGATTTATTCGGCACAAATGCTATAAACCCCAAGAAGTCGCCTTTCACGCGGAAGTTGAAAGATTACTTCTATGCGAGTCTCGGGTTTCCGGTTGCTATGGTGAGTAATATAATTAATTTTTTTTTTCATATTATTGCAAACACATCGAATTGAGAATGGAAAAAGTCAATAGTTTAGATACGAAACCTTACGAGTTTAATTCTCCGATGAGGAAAATAAAAAGAACATCATTCTCGAAATACCAAATAAATAATAAAAGAAAAATCGATTTCACTTTGACTGATATGTATTATCGAATTATTCGGAATAGATTCCGATTGGAATTATTCAATTATTCTCTGGATTTTTATTGTATTTTTTAGGGAAACCAAAATAATTCTGATCGGATAATTCATTCCAACTTATTCCATAATAGATGCCTTATATAATATATTGTTTCGCAATTCAAATATATTACAAACTTATTTTTTAATATATCATATGTTGAAAGTGAATCTTTCGTTTCACAAAAAATGCATCGAATTCAACATTCAAAGGACATTATTAAGGAAGCAAAAAAGGACCAAAACTTCCTTTATAGCATTGTTACTGGTGACGAGACGTGGTGTTTTCAATACGATCCAGAAACCAAGCGTCAAAGCGCGGAATGGAAGGCGCGAAACGACCCAAAACCCAAAAAATCGCGTTTAGAGAAGTCAAAAGTGAAGACAATGCTCATTTGTTTTTATGATTCCAAGGGTATTGTGCACAAAGAATTCGTTCCAGCAGGCCAAACAGTTAATGCTGTATTCTATGTAAGCGTTTTGAAGCGTTTGGTGCACCGCATTCGTCGTATTCGGCCAGAATATCGCGAAGGAGGAAGTTGGCGCTTGTTACACGATAATGCGCCATCTCACCGTTCGACACTTGTCACTGATTTTTTGACTAAAAATCACATTTTAACAATCAACCATTCCCCATATTCGCCTGATATGGCACCTTGTGACTTCTACCTATTCGGCAAAATGCATTTGTCCATGAAAGGAAAGCGGTATGTGGACGTAGAAGACATCCAAAGGGCTTGTACCACTATTCTGAAGGACGTGCCTTTGAACGACATAAAACACTCATTTGAAATGCTTTTAGATCGTGCCAAACGTTGTATTGAGTCCGACGGGGACTACTTTGAATAAACAATTTGAATTTGAAAAAAAAAGTAAACCGTTGTTGTTTTATTTCAAAAGTTCGGAAAATTTTGGGACGCACCTTGTATGTTGCCTATTTTTGTTTCACGAATGCATTGCATTGCGTAAAAGCAATGCATTCAAACGAGAAACATTGTTTAAATATGAAAATTGCCTAATATAATAAAATATAGTACTATTATTTACACGTATGTGAGAAACTTTTTGTTTAATATTGTTTATGATATCGAACTTTTTATTTTAAAAATTCAGGAAAAAATATAATGAAAACTATGTAACATAAATTAGTTCTTTATTCTCAACATTAAAACACTGAGCATCGCACATTTCCCAGTATAACTAACTTCATAAAATTTCCATTTCTTTACCAATTCTTAGAACTTACCGGGAAAAAAATTCGAGAAAATATATACTCTTGGAAAGAACTTTATAAATGTTGGAAAGAAAATTATCTCGAAAAAATGTTTATACTTATAAAACGACTGAAATAAACGTTTCAACGCTTACGGCGATTATGGAAAAATAGAAATTTTATATGCAATTTTTATTTTATTTCCTCCAAATTTTGAATAAGAATTTGGTGTAACTTTGATCTTATTCATCTCATTTATTGATCGATCCTTGTTCATAATAGATACAAGGATCTAATTTAAAGAATTTTGTATTTACATTTTTTAAAAATTAAACAATTGCATTAACTTAAAATGTTTAAAATAATATTTAAAATATTTGAAATGTAAGCGATATTTTTTCAAGAAGAGAATATTTCATATTCTCAATTTTCAAATAGCTATTACGGTTAATTATGCGTGGAAAGAATTGTGAATGAATAAGTTTTTTGCTATATGCCAGATCTTATATATTTTTCTATTTGCAGGAATATTGTTTTTAATAATAAATGTTGAATAATAATGCCAATTTCATTGCTTTGCAGTTCGTCGGCGTGACTTTCTGGGTGTTAATGTTCGTGGATCGTGAACTGGTATTGCCGAAAGCACTGGATCCGTACTTCCCATGGTGGTTGAACCACTTAATGCATACAATGATCATGGTGACGATAATGTTAGAAACGATATTCGTGTCACGGCAATATCCTAAGCGATCTCGCAGCCTCGGAATACTCATTAGCTTTATGCTCACGTACTTAGTCTGGTAAGTGAAACGAATTTACGGGTATCCGCTTTTCTTAGTTGTAATAACGCATTACGGAAATCAATATATCAGCGATTTAAATGTGTGGAAATTTTAATTACTAAGAAAATTATGGTGAAAATTTTTCTTAGAATTCTTCAAATAATTTTTCAAAATTTTTGTAATTTTATAACTTTTTAGAAAATTTTTTGAATTTTTTTCTACGAATTGAAAGTATTATTAATTTTTTAGATGTTAAACTGATGAGACAAGAAGGAAGAATCATCTTCGATATTTATAAAAAACCTACTAATTCAGAGAGATATTTGAATTATTATTCGAATCATCCATTAGTGCATAAAAGGGGTATAATCATCAGGCAATTAGATAGAATACTGTTTTTATCTCATCCAAAATTTCAAAAAAAAAAACATTTCTGACTTAGTTTACACTCTGTTAATGAATGGCTATCCTCTTGAATTCATTTTTTCAACAATAAAAAACAGAATTAAAACTTTATTTAAAAAATAGAACTAATTTAGATAAAAATAGTGAGTGTAATAATAATGAAAACGATTCTAATTCCAAATTAAAGAAAAAATTTTTTATAATACCATATTTAAGTAAAGTATCAGAAAAATTTTAAAAATTATCACATAATCAGGGCTTTAATATTGTTTACAATATAAATCTGTAAACTGAATAGATTTATTAAAACTGGAAAAGATCTGTGTAAAGAGGATCATTGTGAAGTGATTTATAAGATAAATTGTCTAGATTGTGATTCTTCTTATCTTGACCAAACAAAAAGGAAATTAAAAACTCGAATCAAAGAACATAAGGTTTACATAAGAAGATCCACCTCTGAGATGTCAGTGATTTCACGCCACCAATTGAATGAGATGCACGAATTGGATTGGGATAATATTAGAATTTTAGATACAGAACAATCATTATTTAAAAGAAGAATTTCTGAAATGATATACATAAAAAGTCAAATAAGTAGTATTAATAAGCAAAGTGACACTGAAAGTTTGCCTGATGTTTATCTGCCTTTTCTAAAGAAAGATCTCTCTCACACTTAATAAATAATTCTAGAACAATCTAAACTTTTGACATATATATAAATAACAGTAACACATACGATATAACGAATAACAATAAATAATCTCACAAGAAATTTCCATCTACGTGCTTAAGATTCATCATTTTGTCTGTAAAACAGGTAATGATTCAATCCTCAAAAAATTGACTAGAAGTTATTAATGATAGTTTAATTTTTAAATTAGAATTTGGAAATTCTTATTCTACATAACTTACAACATGATAATTGGCGTTGTAACATTGTTATACGATGCACCTTAACAAGATAAAAGAACACGTTTATATTATACGACGGCTGAATTCAATGTCAGATATATGTATATTTTGCGTTTTACTAATATTTAGGATTTTACTGAAGATGGTAGTGGTTTAAAGATTTTTTATTAATGGTATGAATAATTAAATTTCACAAACAACATCCAGTGTTGTGGTTTCATCCTCCTTTTTTTATGTGTTTGATTTATAAATCACGTTCGTTAGAATTATTTATTAAAAATATTCTATAATTTCTCATTCCATAATTTTTGAAAAAAACTTATATAAATCTGGAAAAGTTCAAAATATTTTTTAAGAGAATCTCACATAAATTTTCTTAAAAATGAGATATTATGAGAAACATTTTTTTCATTATATAAGGACACGAAGAAGAAAGAAACTAAACGCTTCATTTGTTCATCAGGTGCATAGAATAGATATGACGTTAACTTACAATTTCAGGGTACACGTAATCTACTATAAAAGCGGCGTCTGGGTGTACCCCGTGATGGACGTGCTGACGCTGCCACTACGGATTGTGTTCTTCGTCGTGCTACTGGCGTTTTGCGTAATCCTATACTTCGTCGGAGAGACTCTGAACAACATCATCTGGGGTAACGAATACACAAAGCATAAAAAATCTCACGCCAAATCCAAGTAGCCTCGCCCAAGCGTTCCTAACGGGTGATAAAAACCACATCTGCCTGCTGCCTGCGGTGTTGGTGAATAAACAAAAATGGATATTTTCTACACGTACCCTCCGTTGCAGCATGCACGATGTATTTGTCAAATGTAAATGTCATTTAGAATATTAGTGCTGTGTATGTGCATGCGAGGCGCAGTTTAGGGTATAACAATAAGGCTCGCGCGATCGTTAACCCGGCGCAATGGAGATAACACGAATGAGCAGGAGCAGCATGTAAGGTGCAACACATTTCCATGAGATCACAGACCAAGGGAGACTAATCCGTGGGTATAATACAGTTATTTCTCTCATTTTCTTTTCCCTGTTACGCGCCGAGAGTCGAATAAAACGATGCGTACCTCATATATAAATCCTTCCTTCCCCGCTCACAATAATACTTATTTTTGTACTTTCGTAGCGAACGACTTATTATTGTTTTTATCAATAAAGTCATTATAATACAGTGCACATAGAATATGTATGTAATATATATGCATATGATGTACAATGTAGCGTACATGACAATTTGCCCGAACTAAAGTCCAGATATATTTGTGTGATCGAGTGTAGGAAAAAAATACATAGCGGTAACGGAGAGCGTGGAGCCAGATTTGAAAACGTAGGAAACGGCAGATGGACGAGAGGGAATCTTAAATGTACCGATCGTAATGTACCGATCATCCGGGGATAACGTTGCTGAGGACATTTTCTTGCTACAAGTGAGAGAAGTGCCTTGGCGAAATCTAGTACGTTTACGGAAAGAAGATTTTAATTTCGACAAAAATATATGATTATCCATGTAATATTATTGAGTATAGTTTAATTCGGCAAATAATGTAATGATACGTAATGGCCTAGAATTGATTGCAACATATATATTTTCCTAGAAGTTTATTAAATATGTTTAATGGATGAGAGATGGCATCTGTTTCCTGCTAGAATATAGTTTAAATTTGAACATGTGGCATCAAATAAGAATTATGTATTGTTTACAGAATGTGTCTCGTCAGTGGTTCGATACGCTACATAAAAGATATAAATGTTAATAATTTCATTTCTAATTTTTCTTAGAAAAATGAAAAAAAGAAAAGATATCTTACATATAATCAGAACTTTAACACATTAAGAAAGAAAGTAATACTTTTCATATTCCGCGTACATATTGTAATAGTAAAATTTTAGAGACGTTTAAAAATATTGAGAGAAAATAATTAGATTAATATAACAAATACGAAAAAATACAATGCGTAAAATACTATTGTACATAAATATATTAATAATTATTACAAAATGTAAAATGCAATGATATAAAGAGACATATTATAATTTCAAGGGACAGTACTTTTCAATTTCAGAACAGTAGAAAATATTCGACAAAGTATATACTTTACAGTTTTGTATCAGCTTATATATATATATATATATATATATATATGTATAAGCAATTTGATCTACTTTCCTGCAATTACAAAATATGGCTATTACAAAAAGTAAATTATTTATTAGTTATTAAAATGAAAAATGTTCATAGATCTACATTCTACGAATGTGATTCAAATCACAATTATATTAAATAAATCTTTTTTTCTTTTCAAATAGCTAATAATTTATAAATCAGTAATGTAGAAAATTATAAAACGCGTTTTATTTAGGCACTTGTTAAAAAAATAAATGTATAAACATACTCGCGCGCCACACACAACACACACACACACACGCACACAATCTTATTGTCATAAAAAATGTTCGTATGTGCACGTGATACATTTTTACAGAACACTGGAAGACATACAATATTAGAAATATAATGATATCCTTTTGCGGGAAAATATATACAACGTGATATACATTAGAATAAAAGATCCTAATATTATCACAAATTAAAAATTAATTACCTAGCACTCGATGCGAGTTGTCAGTTATGAATACTTTATTAAGATTTGATTACTATTTTAGCAATAATAATAAAATATAGAAAAATATTTATATATATCTATTATTATCCTTATATATCTTTTCAAACGATATTATTTAATCCAATTTTATTGGATTATTATTTCATTACTGCATATCGTTTATAATATCAAAAATAGTAAAAATCAATAATTGATTATTTTTTTGTTTAGAAAATATGATAAAAGCGGCAAAAAAAGGAACGATATTGATCAATGATTCTTATTATTTCAATAAAATATATCTAAATAGCACGTAATTCCTTATTCCATGCATTTCTCGATATATTTATATAAGAACAAAAAGTAGTTCTCAGTCTTACGTCGTGATATTCTTACTTTTTTTCAATTGCGGTGATATTTGAGTTCCCTTAGAGCTACAATGCCTGCTGTTAATTATTTCATCGATACTCTGTTTTAATTCTTCCATCTCCAGTATATCGAGCGGCAGCGAAGTCTGCGTCGCCATCTCTCTAGCGTTAGTCTGTCCGTCACCTTGCAACAATCTTGTTAACTCTGGATAACATGAGGTGAGACTAGAATCCAAATCGCTCATCACAGCTTTCCTATACGCCTCTTTCTTCTCATTTTCATTTTTTATCTTAATATCATTAGCCTCCTGAAGTAAATGTTTCAAGATAGCTTCATCTTGTAAAACGTACTTGCTCCTATGACTCTCGCGACTTCTTCTGTCACTTTCATGATTGTAAGTTTTACAGTTCTTATTGCTACGTTCTTTATTTTTACTACGCTCGTGCGCATTTTCCGGATCTAACATTTTTATTTCATCCTCCGATTGACTATCCTCACTGTCGCTGTCTTGTTCATCTTCCTTCTCCATGTTGCCTGCTTCTATGTCGACGTCTTTATCAGCCATATCTTGCCTCTTCTCCTCGCTGCTTAAATTTTCGTCACTGCCACTCTGCCCTCTTAACAAAAAAGGCAAAAGCATGCCCGTGTTTTTAGTGTCGATAATTTTCAAGGCTCGCTCATCCAGTCCAGCGTTCCCGAGTCTTCTGCCCATATTGGGCATTTGAATTGGAATTTGAGTTATTAGTTGACTATCTTGAGAAGTGGTGCTGCCTCTCCTAGACAGCGGATCAATTTTTGCTGAGCGGGATTTCCCGAAGTCTCTTCTGTTTTTCCCACGACGGCCGCGCGATCGGCTTGCAACCTTCCGTGTTGTCTTCACTTGTGCGATTTGTACAGATATCTGCGAGTCCAGAGAATTTCGTCTGGATTCCATAGAGACACATTGGTAACTATAACTGATTTCGGAATCAGCCGAGTTGCGTCTATTACTAGATACAGATCCTGTAGTACCAACTAGTGCACCCCTTCGCGTTACTAATTTAGGTAAAGCGGCCGCCCAAGTGCTGCTAAAGTCTTGTGACGCTGAATTAAGGTCGAAATTTAGTCCAACTGGATCCGCATGAGTGTTATGAAAACTTATTGATAAACGACCGGCCTTATTAAATGTCTTCCGGTTCGCAAATAAATGCGCGATAAGCTTGTGCTTACTCAGTCTTATAGGAGGTTCCTCAGACTCGCGATTGAAAATCCTGCAAACGAAGAGAAAATATATGCTACTCAGAATAGCATTGATGACAAAAATGACAAGTTAACACAGTAAGTATCTAGCATGTATTAAAATTTACCTTCTTAGAAATCTGCACCAGGTATCGACAGTTGAGCTAGTCCATATCCATGAAGACATAAATATCCCGGTAGAAAATAATGCAAGCAAATGCAATTGCAGTTTACCTGTGCTAGGTCTCGAGTCCATTTTACATTCAGATACGTCTGCATATTTTGACGCAATCGTGCATCTTTAAACAAATATAATAACATTATATTATATTTACATTACATTTAAATACAGTATTATACGATAAATATGTCTAATAATCAAATATGTTCATAGGAAATTATATGTAAAATATGTATTTTTAATATATACAGAGTGAATCTTAATGGATATCCCAACAATTTACCATGGGAAATTACCGACTGTAATTAGAATCCATGCGTAAGAGAGAATGAAATATTTATATCTCTCATATTAAAACGTTAGGTCATCCATTATTCACTCTGTATATATTAAAAATACATATTTTACATATAATATTAAATTTCCTATGAATATATTTGATTATTAGACACATATTTATTGTATAATACTGTATATGTGGACTATATTTATAATTATATATTGAAATTCCCTTACATCATGTAACTTCTGAAGCTTTTTTGCCATTGCTGCGAGTTTTGAATTTCATAAATATGACAATAGAATGTAATAACAACAGCTGCAAGAGTACCTATAGAAAAGAGTCCCATTCTGACAATTGTCTGTTTTATCTTTGAACTTGCTCTTTCGGATATGATCTCCTGACTACTTATTTTTAAACAAATAAGCGTGTAGAGTCCTAAAATACATACAACATTGTCGTAGATGCAAGAATAATTGTTCAATACATTAAACGATAATGCATTAGTACTCACAATTTAGATTAATACAGAAAGCATTGAAAATGTAAAAATTTAATATTATTATCATATCGGCATAAATATACAAATGATAAGAAACAATATCTACCTCTGCATAGAAAATATCCCCCTATTAGCACTGCGAGTAATATGGGACCTAGCACAAAAATCTTCGCCATATGATCGGCATAACCGACGAAGCAAATTCCTGTTATGCTGTTACCATCAATTCGGCCTAGCGCCATGATTGCGACCGTCAAAACGAGTGGTATGCACCAAGCAATTAGATGAAAATAAGCACTCTTTTTGTCTATTCGATCTTGTATCGTACCAAGTGCTCGAAAACTCATATGCCAAGCGTACGTCAATATAACGAACCATACTGCAGCTGCCATTAAAGAATAGTATACAAGAACGAAGACAATAACGCACGACAGATTTTCCCCGCTAAAAGTAAATATTTTATAAAATTAAGTCGACATCATTATGACAAATTTCATTATGGTATATTCGTAAAACATACCTCGGTTCTCTTGTTCTTAATGTTCCATCTTTGTGGCATATAACTACATCCCTACTGCCAGGAGTGAATTGAATTAACCATCCAATGCAAGATACCATAAAACAACCATTAATATAAAATATTACCAAAGCTGGATACTTATTTGCACTTCTCCAATCTATGACAAATGTTAGCTGGAACGTGTGAATATAAAATGTAAATTATATAATTAACATATATTATTCATAAATATTTTATGCCACTTACAACGGTGAATAAATTGAAAGTACAACAAATGCTTGCAGCCCATATAATGAACGAATGTATCTGATTATGTTCATCCGGTGTGTATAAAGGGTCATAACATTGTGTCCCACAGCCTTCAACGCCGTCAAAAATGGAAAAAACATTGTCAGTAGGTACAAGAGGTTTCAAACATTTGCCCGAGATATTAAATTTCAATTCCCTAATGTCATTCTGACATAAACGTGGAAATAATTCCTTATTATCACACTTTGCGAAACTCGGCCATATTGTATGATTCATCAGCATTCTGCAGGGTCCTGACACCATTTTACACATCTCTTGAGATGGTAATTCGACTGTATCATTAATGCATTTCGGCATAAATATTGAGCACAAAAATGGCTGAACGACTGCCCAACATTTTGGCACATGCTTCAAAGCTTGCAACAAGTACAATCTTTCCTGAAAGTAAAAAGATGTGACAAATGTAATGTATTCTCATTATAGAAAAGTCAACATAATATAACATATTATATAATAAACTTGAGAGAAACATATTAAAAGCTAAAATAAAAATATATTCAAATACAGCTAACAAAATATATTATTCTTATTATTCACAACTTATTAATGTTGCTTACCATATTATAAAAAGATAAGCCTATGCATAGTAAGAGAAGAATTATCTGAGACCATCTTAAATACAAATCTTGATTTTAATGCTCATGTTTATATAGATGCAAAATAATTGTTATTTCTTAGAAAGATTTGCAGTGCTAAGTTTCTAACTTGTATACATAAATTTTTATAAAGTCGTGCTCTATCATAAGAAAAAAAAAATTAAAATTATTGATACAAAAAATTAATAGTAATCTTATCTACCTCAACAATGTCTTGAGTTACATGCTCTGGTATGAGGTCCAGTGTGGTAAAAGTATAAGGTAATTTTGTACCCATACAAGTACTTTTAGATAGCTGAACACATTTGGCAGGTCTACGACAGGTTGAGATATCCGGTGACAATTCACCTATAGGATATCTATCTAATCGATAATTGGGATCTTTGATTCTTTGATGCCGACCCATATCCTTCCACATACTGTTTTCACCATCGTCGTTAGCTGCAAATCCATGCTCCAGTTCTAAAGACAAACCGTTGCAGAATAGCAGACAACAGAGGAGCAGCAAAAATATCATCTGCGAGTAAAAAATCAATTTTTCACATTCAGGAAGCAATTTAAGAAAGTACACTGTAATGTAAACAAAAGCAGAAGCGATCCTTTTCTCTCATTTTTGAGAAGAGACACAAAAAAAACTTCATCTTTTTCTCTTTACAAAAAACGCGACGCCTCTTCCACGGGATAATGTCAAATTGAATAATGATTAATTAATCATGAAACACACATAGTATCATGTAAGAATAAACGCGCGATAAACAAGAGACATGTACCTTCGTGCGGTCGGGTTCACGGATCGATCCCGCTTAACCATGAGGTAAAGTCTGCGTCTCGATCGTACGAAGCGTTTAGCATCTTCTACGCGACAGCCGCACTCGAAGCTCACGAACCAGCCAGACCACACAACGCGTCGCGTTCCCGGTCGGCGCACCACGATGGACCACCCACGATGTGTCTCCCCCACGCCTTTCTCAAGTTTGAATGTACGCTACAGTCGGCCACGTGCATTGCTCACCGATGGCAGCACTACGCCGCATCGCTACGTACGAAGAAATCAAGGCCGAATACAAAGACGGCGGTCGAGCGATAAGGAGAAACAAGAAATCGTTTCGGCGCGAGAATTCTCCCACATCGCTCGATTTATATCTCGGAATTATATAAAAATTAAAATAAAATGCTAAATCGTTTGAGACTTTGAATGAAAGATTTGAAGATTTAAAAATTTTAAAAACAAGATTTTTTTTAAGACTAACTTTTCAAAAAACTAAGATCTTTTAAAAGATTTTAAAAAATTATTCAGTGTTATTCAATATTATTCAGTGTTTCCATCAAAATTTTGTCTTCATATTTAGACAAAATGAATTTAGACAAAAAAATAGACAAAATGAGATTCGAGCGGTCAAGTTGGCAGAATTGTTAATATAAAAATTTAATTAAATTATTTAATTCTTTTGTTGATGTTCAAAAGTTAGTTAAAACATCAGAATTCAGGTAGATTTTCACATAAATGTGTAAAATAAAAATTATAATACACATATATAGAACACGTTTTATTTATCTCCATTTTTTTACACTTCACAAAATTATATTATTAAAAGAATGGATTATGTACAGTATTTGTAAATAATTATGAAAACTATTTACATTTTTCTACAGATTTAAAGATTATCAGAGATATATTGTAAATATAAAAAAAATGAGCGAAACTGTGTAATATCTCCTTTTTCATTTATTCTGTCGAAAAGATTTTTCTATGTTTTATATTGAAGGTCTCAATTATATAAATGTATATACTATAATTATAGATATACATTTTATTTAAATTGTTAATTTTTCTTTCGCTAGTCGCAACATATAAAGAAATATTCAATACTTATTGTACAGGACAATTCTATATATAGCTTCTAGTTTTAATATTTAAAAAATCCAATTTAATCTCTCTCTCTCTCTCTCTCTCTCTCTCTTGTTAGAATTATTTGTTGAATTATTTGTAGAATTATTATGTTCAAGTTATTAAATTTTAATCGAAAAATATTAACTGCAATATTAGAATTAATTAGAAACTATTTTTTTATATTTGGCACTTTAAATTCATAATCAATATAAAGAGTGTGTATACAGGACATATAAGAGTCAAATATACAAAATTTTTTAAAATATGAAAATTCCAACGAAAAATATATATAATAATCTGTAATTAATTAAAGAAAAATCAAATATATTAGGTGTTGGAATTAATTCGTAGCGTTTTTTAATGAAAGAATGTTATTTATTTCACATGAGCATTAAAAAATACATTAATGAAAGTACTTCCCATCACTTGTAAAACGCTACGAATTAATTCCAACACCTAATATATTATTTCGGTCTCTCAATTGAGCTCTCTTTGGATTATTACAATTCATAATTTTTTAATATTTTTTTATTGCTACTGTATAAAAACAATCGCAAAATACAAAAACTAATCACTTTTGTCCATTCTATTAATTACTAATTATGTCTAATTCATAGGTATTAAATCTACAGAGAAAGAAAGAGAGAGAGAGAGAGAGAGAGAGAAAGAGAGAGAGAAACCTAAGTATCTTATCACATATGTAATTACAAGTATTGTAATATTTTTATACCATACATTAAATTAAAATCAATCATATTTTTGGAGTTAACCAAATTCTCAAATGACTTTTTCTTAAAAAGTATGACGATAAAAAAATTAAATCTTTGCAAGATATAAAAAACCGATTACATTTATGAATAAAATGCGGTCTCGTTTGCATAGACACACATAAAAGCACAATACACAAAGACATATATATTTTTTTAAGTTTTTAATAAAAATGTTACTAAAATTTATACGAATGATGTGTATAATATTACAATAGCATATCTTATTCGTGATTAATCAGTTATACTAAGAGCATTTATGTTTGTCAGTAAATCTTTAACATTATCCTGAACCTGATCTGAGGTATTAGACAAGGAAAGACGTGAACAAAAATTGCTCAACGTTTCTACCTGTTCTCGCATATTCTTTTGCAGATATGCCATCAACATATTAATTATATTACGCATCTCTTCCTTGATCTCAAGCAAATCCTCATTATTACAGTTTCTTTGTAACATCCTTAATTTCGCTTTCGCTAGTTGCAATGGATTGTAACCATATGAATCTAATGCAAGAACGTCAGTACCAGCTGTTAAGAGCAGTGTCACTACTGATAGCTTGCTGTTAACCATGGCTAGATGCAACGGTGTGTTTCCTATACAGTCACGTTGATTCGGGTCTGCACCGTTTTCTAGTAATAAACGAACTATTTCTGTATAACCCCTGCAATAAAAAACACAAAGTAAGTTAAACAGTAATTTAAACCATTATTATTGCCAGAATATCTTAAGGAAAATACATATTTATGACTTCATTAATAAATTGATTCAAGAAACTCTACTTTCAAATTTGTTCACCTTATAAGAAAATATACACAGTATATGTCGAGTGTTGTTTCAGATTATATTTTATATATTAGGTGTTGGAATTAATTCGTAGCGTTTTACAAGTGATGGGAAGTACTTTCATTAATGTATTTTTTAATGCTCATGTGAAATAAATAACATTCTTTCATTAAAAAACGCTACGAATTAATTCCAACACCTAATATATAAATTATACCTGCAAGCTGAAATATGAAGAGGAGTTCGTCCATGATCGTCATGATTATTAGGTGATACGCCAAATTCCAAAAGACTTTTCATCAAAGACACATTATTCCTCGTAGCAGCCAACCGCATATTTCGTTGAATACGTTCGGTTTGCCAATCATTCCAGGCTACAGCTTGGGTATTCGTATTTTTACGCCATGTACGAAGAACACGTACTCTTATTTTGGGGCGGTATAGATCAGCTACAATATTAAAATTATTATATCTTATATATAATAACATGTATTCCCACCAGGAAATTATTTGAATAAATTTATATTTGTCAAAATTCTAAAATAAAAACTTTTTTAAAAGATTTAAAAATATAATGCAGCAAAAGGTGATTTCTTTAAAGATTAAAGTAAAATAAAAAGATGAAATAGTCAGAATATATAGATAAATCCAAATTTGTAAAAGGATACTCACAGGGTGTCGATAATTCTCTAATCTTGTGTTTATTCCGTGTTATTTCTAAGGTCTGAAATAACACAATATTATTCTTTCCATTCAAGATTTATAATTATTATATTAACAGTTACATTTCACAAAAAAAGTTGCATTAAAGATCTATATTGTTACTGACTTAAAATGTTTTGCTAAACAATCTGCTTTTGTTATCTTTTATTTTTGCTTTGTATTTTTTTTTATTCAAAGAAACCTTCTAGACAAGTTTCAGTTTCGTTCTACAACTCTCAACTATTTACTAATGGTACTAACGATGATAGATACCTCGGCATTGATTTTAAGTAGCCTGTTCTTTTGCAACATCACAGTGACCTCGGGCGAGGTCCGTCTACTTTCATCGGGAACAAACAGAGGATGTATTAAAGCAGGCCAATCATACATGTTCAGATTGGGAAACTCTCCAATGGAATTAGTGTCGACGGTTGTGACGCCGTTACTGATGACCTGACTAGCGACGACTTGCTGTTGCTGGTGACCCTCCTGCTGGACGATCGAGCTGTCGTTCGAATCGTTCCCGGTTTCCACTCCCGAGTCTATCGACGTCATGTTTACATTGCAGCACGCAATACTACCGCTGATACCACTGTGGTCGGGTAGCATCGCCTCTCGCCCTCGCGAATCCGCAACGTCGTCCATCGGTATAATTTGTCTTACAGAGAATTTACTAGAAATTAACTCACGTACCAAGAAGAGGATTAACGAACAATCGAACTTTTCGTTTCTAACAATCTCGAGAACTCCACTCTGTCCAACTCTGACAGCTTTCTTAACCACTTCTCTTTTTCCTCACGCTATCTCCTCCTCGTATATACCTCCTACTCACTCCTGTTACCTATTGCTCATTTGCTCTTCGACACTGTGTCACGTGACAATACAGACGTCATATAATTGGTTGTGAGGAACTCCGCACAATAAAAGGAACAAAGGAACACAGAACAGAAAATAAGAATTTCAACTATCAGAAATCATGTATTATGGAATACACAGTTTTTGATAGGTTGAAATTCTTAAGCTAGAAACACAATAAAAAGCATAGGCAATAGGAACAGGGGATAAGAGATTTCAACTTATCAGAAACCATGAATAATAGAATGGACGCTTTCTGATAGGTTGAAATCTTTTATTCCCCGTTCCTATAGCCCGTGCTTTTCATTGTGTTTCCAGCTTTATTCTCTGTTCCCTATTCCTTTTATTGTGCGAAGCCCCTGACTGTGATTGCGACTCGAAAAATGAACGGATCAAAAAGTAATGACGAGTCGCAATTCCTATTTTCTGATTGGTCGAAAAAAAATCGCAGTCGCTATTGCAGCTGCAGCCGCGAATCGCTAGTGTGATATGGCTTTAAAGCCGATTCTACATTAGATGCAAGTCGTTTGCAAGTTTGTTGCGACAGCCAATGTGAAACGTTAATTTCAAAATGCAAGCTTCAGATTGGCTGTCGCAACAAACTTGCGATCAGCTTGCAACTAATGAAGAACCGGCTTTAGATAAAATACGTATTTTATAATTCAAAATATTTGCATTGCATTTTTTATACTCAAATTAAATCAGCGTACAACTGCTTTAATATATATCAATGCGCACTAATTCTTCCAATTGAATTTGCCATATATAACCATAAAAGCCCTAGCACAGACTTTTGCATAACGCACAACGCATAGTGCATAAGCGAATCAACTAATCAGAATCTTTCCTTTCCTTCCATTCCACAGGAAAGAAGAATTTCGATTGGTTGATTCCCTCATGTACAATATTATGTACAATATTATGCGTTATGCAAGTCTGTGCTCTTAAATGGGGAGCACAGACTCTTGCATAACGCATAAAACATGAGGTATAAGAAAATCAACCAATCAAAGTCCTTTATTTCATGGAAAGGAAGAAAATAAAAGACTTTGATTGATTTTTATGCCTCATGTATTATACGTTAAGATGTCTTTTTATGTTGACGATCAATGTTCATTTTCAGCGTCAAAATAGATCACGTGATCGAAATTGACGCTTGATATTCGCCAATTTCTATCACAATAACTTATTTTAACGCCGAAAATGAGCATCGAGCATCAGCATGAAAAGGCATCTTTTACACAAGAGTCTGTACTCTCCGCTTTCTCTCTTTCTTTTCTTCGCACTCAACTTTTCCGACAATGTACATATGTACGAAACTATTCGAAGATTACCGAGTGGACCAAGGTGAAGAACCAATCAATTGTGCCCGCTTTCTCCAACTGGCAAACTCTGGGGATCGATTTTGTATTTTGAAACGAAAATTACAAAAATAAACAAATTTAGTAGAATACTGATAATTTTATTAGTCAACATCTTAGTAAATTTGTTATTTGTAATTTTTACCTCATTTCAAGATACAGAATCGATCTCCTGATTATTGAATCTCTAGCTGTGTTCCAAAATTCACTGACAGCGCTGAAAATCTATAGTTTACGTTACGTGTATTATACATTTTCAGCACTAGCAGTGAATTTTGGAACACAGCCTATATATCGATGGACCAACCATAATCTAACCTTCGATTTTGACGTGTAATCTCAAGTTTGACACGAGAATAGCTGCTTTGCGTCTGTGTTAACAGCCTTGAATGACTTAAATATTGTCGAAGAGTTCAGAAAGCCAGGAAGTACTGATCGAAGCCTTTTCAAACCCGAAAGTGTAGAATCTGAAAGATTCAGTAAAGAAAAAGAAAGAGAAATTGAAGGACGAGGATCTCATTTCAAGAAAATAGGCGTCGCGATATATCTTATGTGACCTTTTCACCGAAATTCTAAAAATGGGAGTTCCGTCATCTGCAAGCACGGAAGTCAATATATTGAACGAGATTTATTTTTTAAAAAGTAAGTTTGCTATTTTTAGGGAATAAAAGAATAACTTGATCTTTTGTTATACATAATAAAGAGTATGTACATGTAATTTATAATCCGTTTAGATTTTGGATTTTAACGGTACACACTGATTGTCAGTAGATTTTATTAGAATATTACTGCATTAATTGTACAATATTTATATTCTGCCAACATCTATTGATAATTTGCCAACAGAAAACACTAGCAATTTATTCTTTCATAAATATTTGGATGGAATATATTATTTAAATTGGTTAGAAAATTTTATTCGATTTTTGTAATCATATTGTTAACAGATTTTGTTATATTTTTGTTTGTTTTTTATTTAAATATAGACAGAATTTATAACAAGATATAAAATTTACCAGAAATTAAATGCCTATATTAGTTGAAACTGGATCTTTAATGCTTTTAAATAATTCAATGTGAATTTTATATATATATATATATATATATATATATATATATATGTATATACATATATACTATATTTGTAATCATTTGAACTGTGTGCTGAATTGGTTTCCCGTTTACAATTTTTCAGTACATTAATGGGTGCTTTCCAGCAAGAACACAGTCAGACACAGTGTAACACTACATTCTTGTTTGCCTACATTAAATAAGGATAAAACGATTCTCTATGTCTGTGTTCTTCATTTCCTTACTGGAAAACACTCTATATTTTCCTAATATGATGTATTCCTGATTGAGCATCAAATTATTAAAAATTTCTTGTCAATTTAATTTGTGATATTATTACAATAGTTAATTGCATTTATAAGTCTGGAAAATTAATTCAGTGCATGGTTCAAATAATTACAATGCATATAATTCATATTGAAATATTTAAAAGCATTAAAAATTCAACTTTGACTAGTATAGGCATTTTTTCTAATTGATATTGATTGTGTTCTTACATGTACAATTTAAAGTAAAATTCTTATTGTTTATATAAAATTTACACAGTAATGTTTCAATGTCAAAAATAAAATTTAATTTTGATCCACTCTCGAAAACAAATTATACTGAAGAAGGTAATAACAAAATAATAACGAGGGTAAATCAATAGTTAACAGTGAAAATTGCTGGCAAATAATTCGAATCATATATTAATAGTGATGATAACGTGATCTTATATATGCATTGATCTTAAATTGATTTAATTATTTTTTATACTTCAGACATCAATAAAAATATATTTGTTTTAAATAAGTTTTTATGGTCTGGTTCCATCAATGTAAGATTAATTTTAATTTCAATTTCGGTTTATATAATTTACTCTGTATACTTTTCTAATTTTTAGAATTAGAAAAAGATAAACAATAAGTTAAATAGTAATCAAAATTAAAGTTGACTATATATTGATAGAATCTATTCTATAATTTTTCACAGTATTCTTATATTAACTATGTTTATATGTCATCATTAAACAGGTTTAGTAATATCAATAGTTGTTATTTACTGATATGAAATATATAAATAAATTCTAATTAAATTCGGTTTTATAACATCAATTGTCAGAAAAAACTAAATTAACTAATATTTATCATTTTACATCAATAACAACTTACAGATGTTATTATATAAATCCAATTAATGGTGACGTATAAATATAGCCGTATATTATTGTGCAAGGTGTACATTAAAAAAATTGTGCAATGACAATATAACAATACACCGACACTCATAAAGAGTTACAAACTATGGACCTGTTTATTAGAATTAAAATAATAAGTTTTTCAAAATTTCTTGATCTTTATTACAGGTTTTTTTCTATACATTGTTAAGATTCTTAATCTCAAAGGTTTAATTTACTTTATAAGATAAAACAATTTTTTTTTGCACGACAATATGGAATGGTATATGAGATTAACTATCTTATATATAATTACAGGTCAAATAGAGCAATATAAACAAAAGACACAAATTTTGCAATCCAATGAGAAAACTAACTATTCCAACAGAAAGTTTAAATTCGTAAAGCCGAAAGTTCAATCAGATCTGGTTTGCCATTCTTCTTTGAATTCTAAAATGTTACCTGAGACCTCAACTAAAAATGTACATGTAAATTCTACATTGCTCACCACAAATGTTTACGTTAATCCCAATTTTAAACCACAAAAATCAACAGTGCATATCAATCCAAATATCCATGCTAAGCCTTTAATACATATTAATCCAAAAGTGATGCATGATATTTCAAATAAAAAACTACAAAATAATATAAGCGCAACAAATGCAAGTATAACAAAAACAAATAATAGTACTGGACAAGCGAATGTCAAAAGATCTATATACGTTAATCCAACATTATTGAAAAAATTATCTTCCAAAGAAAAGTCGACAAATTCAAAAGAATCAGTTGCAACAGAACGATCTGTTTGTTCAAGATTGAAGTTTATAAAAAATATCGATAATCGAAAGATTTCTCCAAAAAAGACTAGTAATTCTAGCATTATACTTTTATCACGTAGAAAACTCGTGAGAGTATCTACTACAAAAAACACATCAAAAATTTCTCCATTGCACCAACGTAGATTACTGAAACATGCAGAGTTAAAAGATAAAAAATTAGGGACAACGCAAAAATCTATAAAAATGAAACCATTAATAAGTAACACATTATCTACAAGCACGGTACTTAATTTATCAAAATCAAATATCGATAAATCTAAAGTGACCAAATATAAGATAGACAGAACTGCGTTGCATGTATCAAAAGCTAAAGAAATCGGTCTGTCAGAAACTACGAAAGTTATGTAAGTAACGCGCACTTATTATTATATGTAATAAGTTATAAAATAAATAATTTATGAAATTGGAAAGTTTATATTACAGAAACGACACAAAGAAACTTGTTACTATTGGTGGTATTGTTTATAGAGCTTCCAAAAACAAATTAATTCGAAGAAACTCTTTATTAAAACGTATGTGTATCATTTCGTGTTTTATTTTATTAGTATTACGTATACACAGTTTTATAATTTATAAATATGTATTTTGTTAAAATATATATATTTTTGTATGAAAAATCAGGGAAACGATCAATCAGTGGAAAGAATGATAAATTTGTTAGTTTTAATAAAAAACAACGAATGAGCAAAGAAAGTTTAAATCGCACGTCAGAAGTGGACATCAGTAGCAAATCAAAATTTGCTTTCAATGTATCTTCGAAAACTTACAAAAATAGTATCAGGTACAAATAATACACATATATATCATTTAAAATTGTATACAAATGAAAATGGATTCATCATTATTAGTTTTTGAACTTTTTGTTTTAGCAACAAAGCAAAACAACGAAGCATACGAATTTTACGAAATAAAATGCACAAAAATAACCAGCCTTGCTTAATTTATCAACGATTTGGATCTTGTCCAAATTATGAAAATGGAACGTGTCCTAAACGGCATGATAAAAATCAGGTGTCGCTCTGCAAAAAGTAAATTAATATTTGAAATATTAAATATATCTCTTTTATTTCTTCTATACGTTACATCATTATATTAATGTTCTTAATTTGTCTATACTACGCAGATATTTATTAGAATTATGCCAATAATTCTAATAAATTATTAGGTATAGACATCAAAGCTAAATGCAGGATAATTGATTTTAATTTAACCATATAATTTTTGGAGAAATGCGATAATCTTTATTTGGCCATAGAATTGTCGAAGTCACATCAAGATCAAAAACTTGTTTTTTTTTTAAATCAAATTTTTATTACAATATTAATGATATATTATCAAATGTATTTTATAGTTCTGAATTTGTATCTCTCACGTTTGAACTTTCTCTTTAAATAATCTTGCATTCTTTCCTGAATAAAGGTTGGTATCATTAATTGATACCAACAACCGCATGAAATATTTTGAAGGAACTTTGTCTTTTTTTTTAAAAACAATTCCTTTAGTGTTTCCTTCAGTACTTCTTCAAAAAATCATCTGATTAAGTTAAATGAATTTTCTAGTATGTATTAGAAATATTATTATTGTAGTACACGATAATATAAAAAATTGCAAAATTCTTTATTTCTTTATCTATGATAAAATAAGGTTCAGAAAAATGAAATGATTAAATCGTGCAATTTTTTAAAATATATCCAGTTTTCTGCAAGGGAAGTGTTTCTTAAACAAATGCTCTTTATCTCATGATGTTGGACCTGAAAAAATGCCTACATGCAAGTACTTTCTCGATGGCTGCTGCACGAGAGATGCCTGTCCTTATCTTCATGTTAAAGTGTCTTCTAACACTTCAATCTGCATAGATTTTCTACAAGGATATTGTGCTAAAGGAAATAAGGTAACTGTACATTCGCTTGTATTTTAACCGATTACTCATAATATATTATTTACATTAATCTATTATTTATATAAAACAATATTTTTATTTAATTTGCATTACAATGCAAATTTTTTTAAATAAAAGATTTCAGATATGTAGCTCGCGGGCTGCAAGTGATCAATCATAATGTATGTGATAGATAAATTTTTTAAATTAAATTATAAAAGGACAAAATTTAAATTAACAGGACTGATAATATCCAATCATCGACATGCAGAAAAGCATGTTATAAAAAAGTATCATATTAAAGCTAGCAGTATGATATATGTTTTTTTGTTAAATTGCTTGTTTAATAAATTACTAGAATTGCATCACACAAAACACAATTTTTAGTAAAATGCAAACAATCAAACAAGTAAAAATACATCGTGTGCCATTTAACTGGTTTAACACATAGAAATCTATTTTCTTATAGTTAATGATACTTGTGTAGCTCCCGTGTGGATATGAGTCTGAAATCACTAGTATAAAAAAAAGAAAAAATATTTTAATAAAATTAGGTTTAAGGTGATTTTTAATTATAACAACTAGATGCCTTATGCAAATGTCAATGGCTCGTAATAATAGTTTGTAAAACGTAGAGTACTGATTTATTCTCCTATAGTGTCAACGACGTCACGAGTATCTTTGTCCTGAATTTAACAAGTCGGGGAATTGCAGCAAAGGTGAGTGTTGTCCTTATCCTCATAAATCGCATTCCTTTAATTCCGAAAAAAACACTAAGTATTTGAACAAAACGCATGATACGCAAAAATATCATGCTACACTTGCTACAGATGGTAATTCTGAGAATTCAAATTCAGAAGGCCGATTAAGATATTATGAATTAACTGGTTTATCTGAAGAACCAAAGAAAAAGAAAGAAATTCAAATTGATGATTCTATAAAGCAAATTAAAACTAATGAAATTAAAGAAAATGAATCCTTATTCAAAGAAAATAAACGTGAATTAGGGATAACGGTTTATGATCATAATGTAAAAAAGAAAATTTCTATTGGCGGTTATATCCCTATTGATCATCTTTAATTAACATTTGTATATACATTATTTTTTAGTAAATAATTTTTTAAGTTAATTTAAGAATCTTACATTAAATCAAGGCTATTTCATTCAAAATATATGTGTATTTTGGAGATTTTATTTTAATGTATTCACTATAAAATTTCATAAAAAATTTTTCATATGGTATTTCATATAGTAAATCATATAAATTTATTAGTTTTCTATTTTATAATGATATTTACAATGATATTACATTCTATTATAAGTAATTTTCATGTCTGATGCATTATAAATATATTACAAGTATCTATTAATTTATAGTACAAATTCCATTGTAAATATGTTACAAAAATATATATATATATATAATAAAAAGTAATTTATTAGTTCAAAAAATTTTTCATTTTCAATGAATTATTTATGATAGCAAGCAAAACTTCGTATAATTTTATCATGTATTTATATATTATCCTGATGAATGAAATTTTTGAGCTATTTTCTATATGCTTGAAAAATGTGAAATACTTTTATTGTCATCTGATAAAAATGAGAATAATTTGATTGTATATTTTATGACAAAATATTTAAGAAATTTAATGAAAAGAAGAATAGTGAAAAGATAATAATTAGTGCAGTACTTAAATGTTCAGGTTCAAATTTTAAGAAAAATTAGAAGTTATATGCTGATAATCATTCAGTGTTTTAAACTATTTGGCGATCTATATTTTTTACTAGTACTTATTAGATTTAAACTTGAATTGAGATATTATTTGTTTGGACTTGTCATTTGACGAGCTAAACAATAAGATGTGCCGATTATTAATTTGCTTATCTTTTGTTAGTATAGATCTGCCTGCGAATTTTTTTATTGAAATATTTCTTTCTTTCTCTTATTATTTCATCATTTTTTAAATTAGAATAGCATTTATTTTTCTTTATAATAACAAAGCTTATGTTATAATACTCAATTATATAATAGTATGTTAAATTGTAATAAAATAGAGTTAGAAATTTTATAGAGTTTTACAAAATAAAATGCAATAATGACACATACACGCATGCACACATGACATGTATTTGTTTTATATGTATATATAATTATAAAATTTGTATGTTGGTATATTTAAATAAATAAATATAAATAGATATAAATGATTCGTATATTTCTTTGGTATAAATAAAATACCATTTACCATGTTAAATATTATCTTTATACAGTTAGCAATAAAACTAAAAAATTCTAAAATTTTTTCAATTATATATAAGAGTCCAATTTGTTGAATGATTATAAGCTAATAAAATAGGGCTGTGTAATAATAAAGATAAATTATTTTGGTCGACAGATGCTGATACTATTAACCATTGCTCAAGCCAGCTTCTCATACTTTCTATAGACATATTTGCAGGATTTACGCCTCTAAAGGATAATGCCTGAAAAATAAATTCATAATAAAATAACGCTAATTCATCTTTTGTATCAGTATACTTCCTATTTAAATAAAATGTACTAAATTATAAATTGTAGATTGTAATTAGAAATTTAATATTATGTATATATGTATGTATGTGTGTGTATAAAATATATATACATATATATATTTATATATATATGTATATATATATATATATATTTATATATATACACACATATATATATATATACGTATGTAAAAATTGATAATTGCAATTATAATTTACATATAATTTTCAAATTAAAAAAAAAATAAATTACATTAGAATAATGAAGACAAATCATCTTTTGTGTATAAGTTACAATAAATAAATAAAAATAAATAAGAGAATAAATTCTTTCATACAAAAAAATAGATTTTTTTTTATATTTTGAAAGCGTCAAAGTAATAAAAGTATCTACCCATCGCATCGCTTCGTTGGACATTTCTTTTATTCCTCCTTCTCGTATGATAGCACGATCCATTCGCAATATTAACATACCCCTTTCCGTCAATCTTTTCTTCTTGAAAGGTCTCCATAGCGACATACCATGTATTGCCAACAATTCTTTCTGAAAGATGTATACATTTATCTATATATTTTAAAAGAGAATAAATTCATATTCAGAAATAACAAGTTCAATTTGTGGACTAACCAGGTGTTTCCTTTTGAGATTATTGAGGGAATATGGTGGGCCTGAAAAAAGCTTGGAACAAGTTATGATATTCTTGGTGGTTGGATGTGTACCACTTCCTAAGCAAGCTATAATGTCTCGCCATTTTATCCTGAGTGTTTCATCCTTGATGCTCTTGAGCTCCGCCTGCATGCATCTGAACAATGGTCTGTTGTGCTTCAACCTCGCCTTATGATCAGACAGCATGAATTCTAGCTTCTGTTGCAGCGTCCAGTAGTGTGACGTCAATAAGTAACGTGGAAAATACAGGGCTAGAGGAAAAATAACATAATTCGTAAACGGTGCAGCCGACAGTAGAAACAACGGCAAGAGCTTTCGCAAATCCCTCGGCATTGTGTACATCAGCTGCAGCTGCTCCCGTGTTAAGCTATCTACGCCGTTTGATCCCTGCTTCTTTATTGCAGTGACGAAACTTTTTAAGTTTGTATACACGTCTCTGGTGCCGACACTGAACACACGGTACATGTGCATCGTACGCGGAAATTTACGCTCCAACGTATGTTCATAGTTCTTGATGTAATTTATGTATCTGCCGAACCAGTACCATTTGAGATTGGCCACTTTCTTGGACTTCTCCGTCTCTCTGTCCACTTTCACAAGACCACGTTGTATTGAGCTGCTCCATGTTCGTTTTAAGGGCTTCATGCCCTCGCGCACAAATGTTTTTGATATCATTTTGTACATTTTAAGATCGATCCTTTATCGGGAAAGCGAATAGATTTCCACGGACTCGGTAACCTGAAAAAATCTTCTTTTTATTTGATCCACTTCTGAAACTTCTTAATTACAGAAAAATTATTGAAACATATCCTTTGTATTAATAAATCTTAGTTTATCACAATTCATTAGAAATCACAATACGTAATTATATCCCTTCTAGGAAACCCTAGTATTGGATTTTTCGCGATTGTATTCCCACCATATATTGTTTCTTTAAATTACTTTTGTTGGATGCTGATATTGCGTAGAAAATGATGTTTTATATTTATATTTGCAGCTGTATGTATAACACATTTCATCAACATCAATTCATGACCAGGCGAAGCGGAGTCAACCGTTAGCGGACTCATTTACACTTATTTGTTGTTCATTTACACCTCATTTAGCGGTACAGATGAATGTGCACTCTATGTACATATATGTGTATATTATTAAGAATCCGCAGAAATGCATATGATGTGTAATATTTTATTCTTTGTAATACTCAGCGAACAAGGATAAAATGATACATCATGCGCATGATGTGTGAAGTGAAACGCACTCTAGGTTTATTCGTGTTGCTTAAAATAAAAAAATTTTGCACTTAAAAAGAAAAATATATATTTGGACATTGAAGAGAAAGAAAGCGTAAATATTGAACGTAAAAAGTGCAAGTAAATATGAACAGATTTATAGCATTTGTGACTTTCGAGTATAATGAATTTGAAGTTAACCTTCAAAAAGTACCACGTGACCTCGTCCAATCATAAAGTAGAATATATGAGATTATTCTGTATTATGACGGTTAGATTAGGGTAGGTTAAATTCTTGCACTCGAAAATAGTTGAAAACACTGCTAGAAGAGTCAATTGTCAATGAAATGACTATGGCGGAGTGGTACCAAGCGAAAATCCTGCATCTATGCGAATTAAACAATATCGAGGACAAAAAGGATGTTCTCACGGATATCAAAATCAAATTCAGCGCTTTGAACAATCGGGATGCTGAGCAGATCGCTCGTAGTTTGGACTACAGGCCAATTTATTCGCAACTAACCTCGAATGACAGGTACGATTGATAGGTGAAATTTTTGTAATTGTCATGGACGATAATTTATGCACATACAATTACTGCTCATGTAAGCTTTAATCATTTATTTTTAAATGTAGACGTTATTGTCTTATTAATGCATATGCATTTACGGGGTGACAATCAGATAATTATTATAAATAAATAACTATTATTTTATAATAAATGGATACACGAATTCATAGAAGAATCTCTGTTTAGATAAATTGATGGGTTTCTTTGGCAAAGTGGCATTATATTTATTTCATTCTGTTTATTACATTAAGTCATTTAGTTTCAATAATTTCTTGATTGTCACATTGTATGTGTAAACAACTGCCTTATTTATATAACATTTCAATCTTTTTATTTTATAAATATTTAAACTGTTACTTTATATGTAACTATTTTTTCTCTTAGAATATGATACTAAATTTTCTACCTTTTATTATAAGAATTTTATATTAATTACATAATATAATTCTGAAGTTTGCTATTAAGAACAAAAAGAATTCTACTTTTCTTTTTTACAGAGAAGTTATAGAGCAGATATGCGATATTCTGACCATCTTGTTTAGCATGCTGGAACCTGGGGAAATTTATCAGAGATATTTAATCGAAGTATCTGCTTTAATAACTAATCCAAATGCTAGTGTGAGATTACTTGTGCTACGTGAGTTTTCGCGTACAGCTTTGCATCCACAAAAGATATTTCAGTTACTCTCAGACACCACTCTTTTGATTTCAATTATAAACAGAATCAGCGATAACGACTTGAATGTCGCTGAATGTGCGATGAGCATAGTGAAAAAAATTGGAGAAAATCCAAATGGTTTACATATTTTATATAAGGGCGAGCTCCTGAGAACATTTGCCAGGCTGCTGCAGAATGATACCATTAGCTTTCGTGTTTATGAAGTGATTGTGGACATAGCCAAGACATCTCAAGAGGCTTTGGAAGTATCAGCCCAGTCAGGTTTTCTGAACAGTTTAATCAATATACTAGAAAACGAAGATATACTGCTTCAATTGAATGCCTTGGAAATATTAACTCAATTAGCTGTATTCGAGGAAGGTCTGAGTTATCTGGAGCAACAAGAGGTGTTGAGCAAGTTAGTCCAAAAAATATCACAAGTCAATGAGAATCCTTTGTCAAATCTTTTGATTCCCGGATTAATGAAGTTTTTCGGTAACGTTGCTCGTCACTGGCCTAACGAGTTATTTGTCAGATATCCCGTGATAATCTCTGCGCTTTTCGATGTGATAGACAGTGGAGATCAGAATATCTTGGGCCCCGCATTAGATACTCTAGGATATGTGTCTGCGAGCATTGAAGGAAAGTATGCGTTGCAAGCTCTAGGAGAAGCGATGCCGAGTGCTCTTAAGAAAATTGCTGAGATGGTACAGAGAATGCCGACTGCTTTGAGAATTCGCGGTTTGAACAATCTTGCCCTTATACTTGAGGTCAAGAGAGTTGAGCAGGACAACAGAATTTTATCCTTAACGAAGCTGTGGTTTGATTCGCTGTGCGACGATCCATTGGGAATGATTGTGGCGATATGCAGACAACCATTTGCTGATATCAGACAGGCTGGATTGGAGGTGCTAGCGGTTATTAGTTCTCAAGTATGGGGACAGGAATACATATCCACGTATCCTGGTTTGGTAGAATTCCTATTAGATAGAAATATTGAATCGTTTAAAGAATGTAAGGATGCAAAATATGAAGTTGTGAAATGTTTATCTCAAGCGGAGCGAAATATATTCGATGCGGATACTATGCAGAAATTCAAGCGATTTGTTAACGAAGGTGCATATTTTGTTGATGTTAATACAGAAGTTGCGATAGAGGGTGCTTTGTAAGGGATAATAATTTTTCATATTAATATGTAATGTTAGTATTAAAGATTATGTTATGCATAGGATGATAATGTAAGCAAGTAAGAAACATAAATATTTATTTTTTATTTTATTATTTCATAAAAAAGATATTGTTTAATAAAGATTGTACTTTTTTTATATATTCAATTGCATTTAGTTCAAATAAGTCGACACTATTGAAGTGTATATATATTTATATATATACATATATATGTGATATATATATATATATACTCTTTTTTCCAAAGCATTTTTCTTCATTAATGAAATATTGTTCATATTGGAATTTATATACAAAGAGAAATAATTTATTTTACATCTAGCAATACACAAAAAATCTATTTCTTACATATTTGAAACAAATCAAATAAATGGTATTAAAATACATATGTATATGTATAATAATGTGTTTGCGATATTTTATCATTGTTCTTCACTGATCTTTATGAAATCTATATATAATGTGTAAATAAGATCGTATAAATAATTGTACAAGAATGTATGACATGTATTAAATATACTTTAATCTCTACTGTATACGTTTTCGCTTTTTCGGTGAGACAATTTTCAGCATACTGACCACCGGTGCTTCAAAAGCGATTGACACTATAAACGACAATGCGTACGACAGCGATAGCTGCCCCAGAAATGTTATCATCTGAAAAATAAAGTGTTTTATGATAATCCGCTGTTAATCATTAATCATAAAATTTTCTTCTCAACTGCAAACTTACCATTATATCCTTTCCTAAGTGAAACGGAGAGTCTAGATTCATAGCGGTTAGACGAATCACAAGCGGATGAATTAGATAGGAGCAATAAGTCACTCTGCTGAATGGATATAAGAGCGGCCACGATAGAATCTTATTTACATATCCTGAAACAGTATTGATTTAATATCTCAGTGTAGTTCACACAAATTGATCAATCTAATATTTATTACAGTTAATTCGATGATTGATCAACAAATATGTATTTATTTCTCACCTCCGTAGCCAGTACTACATGCTATTACGATCCACGCTAAACCTAGCGCCCACGCGCTGTGACTTAAGGATGAATACACAGCTCCAGTGACTGGTGTAAGTTCTGCCTCATATAGACCATAAAGCAAACTCAAGAGACACGCAGAAGACAAGAGCCATCCAACAACGACGGTAGTCTAGAAATGATAACATTTAAAATCTTTTCTAAGTAAGAAAGTAGAAACTAAGTTTATAATTTTGCATCAAAGAAGAATGTTCAGACAATATAAGGATCATAAAGATCTAAAAGATATAATCATAATCTTTCACAGTTTTTAAATTGTTTTAGATACGTTCGTTGAATTTATTTTCTCTCGGAAACATCATACCTTAGACATTTTCACTTTACAATCAGTCTTAAAGAGAAAGTAGCCGACGCTCATGCCAATCAGATAAGGACCTAATCTTGTCCACGGTTTATCGTAGATTTTGTCAAAGAGGGCCAACGGATCATCCATGCTCGGCATATGATTATTAACTAAAGCAATATAGCCAGTAGTTATCCATGAGCTTACTAACAAACCGACTAACGCGGAAGCTGCAATTTTGAAGTGATTTGTAGCCAGTATCAAAATCACTCCACCCACAATATAAAACTGTGTATCGTCTGCTAAATACCAGCTCCAGAGCATACACTATAACATTACAATATAAACTTACATCTTTGTTTGATGGAGATATGATAAGATTAGCAAATCTCCAAAAAAGGATCAATTAAAAAAAGATTAATACAGAGATCAAATTAAAATTAGAAAGATAAAACATGAAATTAAAATTCTATATCATATAATTATTTTTATAAAATATTGCATTATAAAAATAATTATGCAGCCAACATCCGAAAAGTATAAAGAATTATGAATTCTGCAATAGGGAATAAATAAAAAAAAACACGCACCATTTGATCGACGGGAAACCAAGTATTGATATAAAGCAAATTCCTCCACCAATAATTGGGACAGTTATAGTGATCTGCTGTAGGAGGCTCAAAAACGGAATTTGTGTAGAAATATTTCATCGAGATCTCGACTACGCCCAGAATAAACATATACGGCGTGGTGAGCCTACAAAATCGATACACAAGGAGTCCAATAAATTTTAGGGTGCCTGCGGCGAAGCCTCGCGTGCCCTGCGTGAGTCTCTTTAGATCTCCCTTGGCATTGGTTCTGAAATACAGAAAGCTCACGAGCAAACCGCCCATGAAGAAAAATGTATCAACGCTGAAAGCGCCGTTTGTGATGGTCTGGAAGAGGAATCGCTTCTCTACCACTTTGCGATATTCCATGTTATCCGAATACTTAAAAACGATAATGCATGTATGTCCAAGAATGACCCAGGCCATCGATATCGCTCGGAGCCCGTGAACAGTGCTAATAGTATCACTGCCAACATTACGGTCGCAGATAATCTTCATATTAGCAGGAACGGAGAAAGAAAGTAGAAGTTCTTCGAAAATACCTACAAAAATAATAAAAAAGTTGAAAGGTACGTTGTATCGCAACGGATATACTAATTAAAAAAAAACAAATAAAATTGTATCATGTATATAATTTATATTATATAATTTTAATCTGAATAAAAAAAGGAATAATCTTATAATTATTAATTTCCATTTTATCTTTCTGCTTTGATTTATTTCTGCTTTGATATTTAATTTTTATGATTGAAATTAGAAAAAAAGAATACTTTGAATATGGATATTCACTATTATGTTATAACATAAGTAAGTTTATTATTTATAAGTAATCCTTTTTATGTCTTTATTTTTAATTAATTAATTTAGTTAATTAATTATATATTAATTGTATATTAAATTAAATCAATACAAATTAAAAACAGACGAAGAAAAATCTAGTCTTGCTTATAATTTTATACAGAATAAATGTTCAATTTTTAAGTTCGCAAATTATTATAGATTTCTTGAGATATACATTTTAATTCGTTTATCCTTTATGATATTTCTCGGGATATTTCTACACTTAATGAATAAGACTATGATTTAACATACTAAGATGTTGCTCTTCTTTGGTAGACGGTTGCAAACCATTCTCGAGACCATTGTTATTATTGATCGACTGCACACCATTGCTATTAGAATCTGCCACTGGAACAGGAAGGTAGACCTCACCTTGAACGGCTACGGAATATAATAATATATCATGTGACTTTTAATACCGTCCTTGTCTTGTCTGGTCTGTAAGTCGTACATTATTAATTTGTATTTCTATGATATGAGGTATCTATTACTATGTTAATTGTTTTAATTATAACATTTTTTTAATTATAATTTCTAAGAATTACTGTAGTATGAATTAGTATAATAATAAATTAATAATGATTTTTCTCAAAGCAGTTATATTACTGAAAGCAAGACTATATTTTATGTCTCGTGCATCTATAATTTTATAATTTTCAGTTTACACAATCTTTTAGATTCCTCGTATTTTTTTCTACTTACATGATTTCTTATTTTTCCGGAATAGATGTCTCTTTAAAAATTAGTTTCCAAGATTAAAACCTAATGATTTTAATTCCATGTATGTATATTCAAATCTTGTTTATTTAATTTTAAAAATTCATCTTTTTTTAATCAATTTTAATATTTAAAAATTTATAAAGAAATATTAAATATAAAAAAACTACAGATCAAATTTTTAAAAGAACTAAAAAAATAATTTTAAATTAATTAAAGAATATATGCATAAAAAATGCATGAACGCTCTACAATATTTCTTTATAAGGAGCAAGAATTTTCATTATTTTAATATTGTACATTCATACTACCTCGTACCAAATGGTACAAGTGATAATAAATGATTAATAGGTGATCAAAAAATTCTTAGACATGAATATTGCCTTTTTTTTACCATTTATGACCTTCCGATCGCCATTAGTAAGATGATCGAGTTTTCCATGTTTCTCCAAATCATAGATTACATTGCTCTTACAGGCTGCTTTTTTCGATAGATAATAATCGTATCCGGTGCCAAGAATCATCAATATTAGAACCACTATACTGACACCGCTAAAACGCATTAAATTCTAATTTTTGCATCTGCTTGCTCGTGTATATTTAATCAATAAAATATTGTATCACTATTTATCTTTTAATATATAACAATATTAATAAAGGTCATATATAAATTATATTATATAAATTTTATATATTTTTGTCTTTGCAAAATATGACTTGTCTTTTGTGATAATCAAATAGTCAAATGCAAGTAATTGTAAATAGTTAAGAATATTATTTTCATAAACTTACAATAGAACCCAGAAAACTGGATCTGTGTACATATCGTATGAAGTATGCTGGTCTCTAACTTTTTCAATCGTCGAATGCTTTGCTGCAAATTCGCTTGCGGCGAGTTTCCCGATCACGGCGACGTCGGAAGCAGTGCACGAGAACGGCAGACAAACACCCAAATGAATCAGTTTTGTCTAATGAGAAAACAGCATATTTTTTTATATTGAAAACTTTTTTAAATTGAAAATTGATTCTTTCTGAATCAATATGTTTCCTTAAAACTGAGCAATAACTCAAGAATTTGAGAAATATGTCTTTTAGTTTTTGATAAAATTATATATTACATTTGTAATGAAACTTTGACTTATGTATATTTAATATGTATATTTAAAAACAATTATCAAGATATTAAAAATATTAACATTTTTTTATAACAATGTATCGACCTACTTTTCTGCTAAGTTTTTTTGAGAACCTTACGTTTTATAAAAAACAGAATTTCGCATTTCGTATTTATGTTAAACCAGAAGAAATATTAAGTTTTATATTTTTTAGAAATATTTAATGTTTAATATCATTAATATATTATATTTATATTTTAGTATACTAAAACTAGTAACTTTATGTAAACAATGGTATATGAATTTTCTTCATATTTATGAGAAAGAAAAAATAGATATAAAATAAGTTAAAATAGAGAATATTTTTAAGATATTTGTATTCGTAAATTATACATGTAAATTTGTAACATATCGATGATACTTACTGGTGTGCAAGATACGTTTACAGAAAGTTTTAGCATATAAAATCCCAGTTGAAAAGGCACTTCCACGGAGTCTGTGGACCAGGTACTAGCTCCGCTAAGACCTGTATTGATTGTAACTTTAGGATCTTT